TCGCTTGCTCCTGTGCTTCACTGGTTTTTGGAATCGGTCTGGACGGAAAGGGTTTCTTCGGCTGAGCCGCATCTGCCTTTATCTTTGCATTTACACTTGCAAGCAGTGCGTTTGGGACATCATTGGCTTGAACTGGCCTCCCCCAGCTGTTAACAAAGCCGCCTTCCAATGTGACAAAAACCTTAGATCCATCGGTGGTCACATACTGTCCTCCTGAATGATTCAGGCAAGGGGTTACTACCAAGGGCTCCCCATCAGGCTTCAACACCTTGATACCGTCAGGATTAACGAGAGGTGCAGCAGCAGGTAGAGAGTGTGAATCAGCCTGCTTCTTCAAGAGTGCCATGCACTCTTCTTCTGTCGCCCCAGACCAATCGTACCCTAGCCAAGATCGAATCCTCCTGCTGCACACGACTGCAATTAGCACTAGTACTGTGGAGGCAAGAGCACCAAATAAGCAGCAGCCAAAAAAGCTGAAGCGGGAAAGCCCAAGGAAAAAAGATTCTGGAGCTGCTGTATCGCCCTCTGGCGTATGCTGAGTAGACTCCACGCGAGCCTCCATAGCAGGTTTGGAATCAACCGGGAAGCCCTCTGAGGTTCGCCAGGCACTGTTACTGGTTCCCGGTGAAGGAGCAGGCGTATCTCCACTAAGGGATGAGTCATGCGCGTTAGTCCAATGATCGCTTTGGGGGTGTGACAACTCAGTAGACCCATGATTTTCCTCAGCAATAGGTGCAGGTGCATATTCAATGAAAGGCGAGTCGTATGGGATCGTCGCCGGTTGGTCGCGTGCTTGTTTCACTATAGAAGGATCCTGTGGACGCTCGTCTTCGGTTGAAGGCGCCTCAACACTACTCCCATTGAGTGTAAGATTCTGTGTTTTGCCTCCTTCGATGAAAGGCACCCCAATGGTATACCCTCCCAGTGCGGAGTCAATAGTATCGTCGTCCTCTGAGGCAACTTCCACAACAGGTAGCACCCCACCATCAGGGTTCTGGCTGCCCTCGTCTCCAGCGATAGCCGACTCCTTGGCGGTGGCCACTGGTTCATCTTCTAAAACCGCCGCCTCATCAGAGTTCTTCAAGTGCAGTCCTACTGTTTCACCTGGCCTGAGATCTCCAATTAGGCCAGATTTGTCCATGAAACGCTGTTGGACGTCTTCAATCGGCTTTGCGTGTGCGTTGTCGCCTCGAACTTGCGGATCCGGATCCGCTACGTAGGCATCGTAATCGCTGTTCGGGGGAATTCTTGCTTGGAAGCTCCTGCTACTCTTAGATAGTGAATTGAAAAGCATACGCCCACTACTTGACGCTTCAGTTCCCACCACCCTCCCATAGGAATGCAGATGAATGGCAGAATAAGCTATGTGGCTCCCTCTTTCGAAACCGTCACCTGCCTCATCAACTCTGCCTTCCTCAACTTCCTCGCTTGAACAATTGGGAATCGGCCCACAGGATTTCTGCATCTTAAGTGAAGCTGTGTCGCATTTGGGTGCCAGGCCTGGCACTGGGTGCTGTTGCGGAGCGCGTGTGCGGGTCCGGGAAGCACTAACTGATGTGGTGCCACCAGAGGCGCATTGCGGGGAACACTCACTCCATTCCGAATAGGGGCCATAAATGCACCAACTTGAAATCGATTTGGTAATGGCAGCAGTGAATCCACCCATCAGTCCTGAAGCTTCAGTTCCTGCTGTTATCCTGTCCTTGCATAGCTGAGTTTCAAGTGCTGCATTGCACTGCGGCGTCATCTTGGGGCGTGCCAGCGTCTCCTTGACACGGACTTGCCACATTGCTGGTCTATGTGGGCCTGCGCCATCCGATTCAACCTGTGTGCTGTTCCTCCTGTCACCCGCATTGTAAGCCTCGACTTGATAAATGTCTTCGCACGGCGACCACGAAGTCCATGGAGAGTATGTGCACGGGACGTCCTCGCACGTCCCTACGTCGCCGTTAGATCCCTTTGCTTTCGGAGCAGTGCTGCCAGAATCGCTACTTTCTGCAGGCAGGAACAACAAGGAGAAGGGACTGAATAATGCACAGGCAGTGGGAAACTGGGCACCTAATGTGTTGCCATTTTCCGCGCGACGTGGCTCGAACACCTGCGTGCTCACAGCGCAGCACACTTAGCAGGGACGGTCACTGTAGCAAACCAAATACACACCTATCGGAGCTTTCTGGAAGTGTTACAAGAGCAAGTAAGAAAACCATGATTTCTCCCAAAACAACATGTGTTGCTTTGCCAATGGGATCTTCCACTGGGTGCCGAGACGCTAACACAATGGACACACGCATGCAAACGTGGATGCGCGAACAATTTAGTACTTCAGGAAGCGTGTCAGGAAGCTCACGGCTCTTATCTCACAAACTCGCTTAGCCGTGTCAAAAACAGCAAAGACAGTGCCAGTCCCTTCACCCAAACGCTCTACAACCTGTCTACGAAGTTCGAGATTATCCTTCTCATCGAGAAGCTTCGCAAAGTCCTTGCTCATGAAACCTGTTTCTGCTTGGAGACGATCGGAAATGTCGGGTAAAGAAAGCTTCGCAGTCTCCTCTGCCGTCAGCCCCAGTATTTGTGGCACCAATCGCTTCGCTTCCTGTACTGCATCGAGGGCGTCTTCTTCCCCCGACGCCTTTATCCTAGAAACCGCACTGCGGTACCCTTCTAAGTTCTCAGTAACATCATGTAACACCTCTCGACAATTCTGCCATGTCATCAAACTGGCCTCTTTTATAGTCTGCTGTTTCTTGGTGGCATCCACAGACGAACTTGCGGTCAGCGTTGATGCGTGCGTTTGCAAGGCGGGGAGTTGCGCGCAGCCACGGTTCAACAGCTCTACGCCTGAGAAAACTGAATCAGATGCGCATAGAGGAGTTGCTGAATAAAATGCTTGTCGCAAGCCGTTTGTAAGCGTAACAGAACTTTTGGTAGCGCCGGAATTGAGTAGAGAAGTCTGTGCGGCCGACTCTTCCTCAGACTGCGCGGCGCGTAGGGCTTTGACAGCATCTACAGCGGCTCCTTCCATCACTTTAGCAGCCTCAGAGAGGATATGACTAGCCGTTTGTGCTCGCTGGCTAGCCTTTATTAACCGTGCCATTAGTCGCTCTGCCCTGTGCTGAACGTTGACGGCCTGTGATTTGTTGGTACTTGTCTTGCTGAGTACGAGATTTGCATCACTCAGCGCTTCCCTCATCCTCGCTTGCTGTTGAACCAGAGAAATGCGCATTAGACGGGCAACATCTCCAAAGTTTGTGTCTAGATTTAGTATGAGCAAACTCAGGGTGTCCTTGCCTGCCCTTTTCGTCGGCTCAGTTCCACATTCCGCAACGCGTGACACCTTCACGCCTGTGTACAATGTGCATACCGGACTTCCGCTCTGCGAATCCAGCTTCACCGAATTCGCATCTAGTGCAGAGAGTTTGGCCAAATTTTCATCCAGACTTTTAACAACAGAACCTACACTATCCACCACAGTTTTTAGCGTAGTCAGGGCGTCCCCTTTGACGCCCTCGAAAACGCTTTCGCCTTTAGCCGCTTCCATGGGATCAATATCCTTGGCATAGGTTAGTGCATTGCACTTGTGGTGCAATCGACAAAGAGTAATGCAACTGTACAGGTTGAGCTGCTTTGGAGCAAGAACAGTAGCTTCCCAACCTGGAACTTCCCCTGCACGCTCTTGCACCTTTCTGTAGTTTTCGTGCTCAGTGCGCCTTGCAGTCCAGGTCTCTTGATCGAGCTGATCCAGCATCAGCCGATCCTTGCACCAATCAGTAAAGTCTACCTGAGGGACAACTCCGAAGGAAGCTACCAATTCCGCCTCCCGCGCAATCTGCAAATTTGCAGTCTTCAAATCTGATGGCACTTCAAAAGGGCAGGCAAATGTATTGCAAGGGCGAGTTTTCGGCTGGCCTGCTGCTGGGTTACCCTCTATTCCCTCCATTGTCAACTGGGCTACCCTGTTCTTCACCTCGTCGACATAGGAGTCGGACCATTCGCCACTGCTGGAAAAAACACGACGCAATCCCTCAACAGCCAACTCGAGTGCTCGCGCGCTGTTGGCCGTTTGTATGCCTCCACTGCAGAAGCGAGAACATTCACTCCACGATATCAATGAGGCTGCCTCACCAGCGATTGCTGCCATATCCGAAAAAGGGGTACCCGAAGACAAGGCAGCTTGGAGTTTTTCCTCAACGAAGGTCACGTCGTCACCATGAAGAGACTCAGCAAAAAGCAGAGCGTGGCTTCCATACGGAGGCTTTTCTCCGGCTTCACCAGGTTGAACCCCGTTTATGGCAAGCCCAATCACAGCCTTGCATGTACAGGAGAAAATGATTGCAGCTGTGACCAGGAGATTCATGTAACCAAATGCGGAACTCCGAACAGGACCCCGGGCGTGGAGCCTCCCAAAACCCAGAACAAGCATATGCTGAACCTTTGAAGAGATATTAACGTACTCCAGAAACGAACACATTCTGTGCCCGACATAGTAACAGAAACGTGGTGAGAGGCTCAGCTTCGCTCTTCCCGCCGTACGGTGGTTCCCACCACAGGCAGCGGCTCCCGAGCGTGCATGCTCCAGAAATGTAGGGTTAATTGAGGTTCGTCTCATTTCACATGAGGCAGACCACGCAGGGTTATCCTCCCTTTGTGGCGAATATGTGAATTTGTCCCCGTGGCTGCTGTGTGTTTCAGGCGAAGGCTGCGCATGTCCTGAGCCACGAGATAACGGCTCGGAGCCTGGAGCCATTTGCCCATTAGGGGGCAGTCTATTAGTTAACAGTGGTAAGGAATTTGCTTTGGAATGCACTTGACAAAAGGGCAAGCAGTTTCACCGTCGATTGACTCGCCATAGGCACGATCGAGGCCTTGGCCGCCAAGTAGGAAACGAATTCCTACCCAGAGTATCCTATACAGAGTGGGGTAAAGGTGCCATTAAATTTTCGAAGATCTAATTTCTCATGCATTTAACACGTGGGATGCATTTCTTCCATTTCCGCTGACGCGCCGACTCAAGGCGGCCGCTCGCTCCGTCCAGCCGGGCGAAGTTGCACAGAGACGATCAACTTGTATTCAAGAAATTGCTTGGCAAACCCAGTTCCCGTAGTTGGCATTGCTTGTCATCAATAAAAACTCGCAATAAGTATTCTGCATAGCTTGAGGGAATCTGGACTAACCAGCGGACTCACAGGCACTGACTATCCTTGTGCCCATATACAACGGTCTTGCTTTATCGTCGTGCAGTATTGCGAACACCTCTCTTTTGAATGCTGCGTAGTTGCTATTTGTCAGAGATCATGCTTACTAGTATAGTTGAGAAGTGATTTTGGTTGCTTCCTTTGACGGCAAGAGTACCACGTACGGCAGCTATGCTGCCTCGGTCCAAACCTTTCTTCCACTCTTCAATCGCGTCCCACTCGAAATACCAACAAGAAGGAATTGAGTTTCAAACTACCCCACGGTATATATAGCTGATGCTTTAATGCTCGCTTCACTACTAAAGGAACGAACGTTTTCATTGCAGCGTCCTGGCGTGCCTCGTATACGGCCCTGTCCAGCAACGGGCATCTGCCTTGCTATCCATAGAAACACCCAATTTTCCAAATTTTTTGTATTTCAGCAATATGCCCCGCTGCTTATTCAACGTATCACTTGACGAGTATTATGGTGTCTTCCAACCAGAATCCAGCCTACCAACTTCTGGGCAGTACGGACAATGATGGTACCACAGAGTTGCAGAGCAACAGAATTTAGGAAAGTTTGCTATTTAAAGGTCTCCTAGATACGGAGTGCGCCCATGCTTCTTAGGGAATCTTCCAATGGGGGGGGTGTTGCACCCTTCTTTTCTTCTGCACGGGCTGGAATGCTTTTTTGCGTATATTTTTGGACGGAAGAGCGGGCCAGACTCGCGAATATCTATCTTTTAAAACCCCAAAAGAAAACGAACTTCTCGGCTGGGAAACAAGGTAGAACTTTTGCATAGCTGTGTTTCCACGGAAGAAGCCGTGCTTGCAGGGAGTTTGCCTGTGTTTGTTTACCCTCACGAAAAGTGATCGCCACAAGCTAATCATCGAGTAAACTATATTCAGTTGAAACATATTCTTACTATTGATCTGGAATTCTCATTATTTCCAAGGACGGCCGCTTGCTTAAGTTGGCAGCAACTGCTCTTGAGCCTTTCGGGTGTTCGTACATACACCTGAAGAAGCGCGCAAAGACCTGATTCAGTTGTGCTCCAAACCATATTTTCGTTCCGTTAGTGCAAGAGGTCTTGCACTGAGGTCTCTGTTCTTTTTAGGAAATTCCTAAAGCAGCGTGACCATGATGGAGAGAAGGGAAGACCAAGGAAAGCGGCTTGCCCGCTTTCTTCCCATGATTGTAAGCTACTTCCAACTTACAAAATATCTTGCAACCCGCAAATCAACAAAAACTTTCAGGTGATATGCAGCGTCATGGCAATTCTCTATACAGTGTACTTGCTGGTAAGCTTTTTCTCCTCAAACAATACGAACCAAGCCTTATCCTCCTTGCAGTACCACTGCCTGCCCATGTTCCAATTTGAGGTGCCACCTGAGTATCGTGATCGTGGAGCTATTGCAATCGGTGCACTTCACTTCTTCGTTGGTAAGATGATTGGATGCCACTGCATGTAAGAATCCCGCTAAAATTGCTGACTTACAGCCCACGCTGGGATGGCTATGGTTTTGTGGTCGTTCTACAAAACATATTCGACAGATCCGGGGCGCATTCCAGGTAAATTTATTCACGTATTATTACTCGGCATCATTCCTGTGGAAATTTGATTGCAGACACTCATGAGTGGGAGAGGCAGCCAAATCCTAGTCTCATCACGGAAAGGAAACGTGACGGTACGACAAAAGGCGTTTCATCACTAAAACGGACAGATGATAATCTCGCCTTTCAGGCGGAGCTAGATATTGCCACAAATGTTCAAAATATAAACCCGATCGGTGCCATCACAGCAGCAACAGCGGCCGTTGTGTCCTAAAGATGGACCATTACTGTCCTTGGGTGAGTGGAGTTCTCAGGTGACAGTAGTCTCAGTTGAAAGCTCATATGGCTTCCAGGTTGCCAACGACGTGGGCTTCTTCAACTACAAGTTTTTCTTTTTGACTTTGCTATACAGTGGCGCAACGTTGACATTCGTGTGCTCTACCATGGCAGCCACCGGTATGCCATATTTTTGTCATTCTATTGATACAGCTATAATACGGTGCGCCAGTCAGCGCCTCCATTGACGACTCCAACATTTCCTTCGAACAAGTCTTCTTCACGTTCCTTGGGACTGCGCTGAGCTTCTTCATGCTTGCGTAGGTGATTTTCCCACAGCTTAAGAAGCAACCACACTTAATGCTTTCCTCAGCATTGTTGCACCTTTCTGCATCTTCCACTGCGTGCTCATCACCACCAATTGCACAACAATCGAGTTCTGCGAAAAACGTCGCACAGGGCGGCCGAACCCCTACGACGTTGGCCTCGCTGAGAATCTCAAGCAAGCTCTCGTAAGAACGATTGCTAATTTACTCGCGAATAGGAGTATTATGTTCGTCAAAGGGGGACCAACCGCTTCTATGGCCGGTACCGGTTGGTGGACCAAGCGGCGATGGAATATCGTTCCCTCGCAACCGTTAGCGACTTGCATGTTTTCGCTGGACAGACAAGCGATAAAGCCTTTTCTTTCAATACAAAACGTTTGCCTTATCCAAGCACACTTTTCGTCTGATTAGTATTCAGAGCCGGAATGTATGCCTGGGATGATACCCGCTGCGCCACTCCGTAGTAATGTAGACGAGTGTTCGGGGAGTTCTACCCCATAACGAGCCATAAGGCGGGAGATATACAATAACAAATAAAGCAAGCAAATCGTTCGAGCAAAAATCGCTTAAATATCCTTAGTTAGGAAGACCTACTTACGCTGGGCAACACTCAATGCTGCATGCAGAAGTGACCCAGCTGGACGCTTCCCTACTTTAACAGCTAAACCGTGCGAAATCTTGGCAGAGTATGCGTTAGTCAGAAAGCTTCCTTCCCCCTTACCCGCGCGCAACTATCCCCCTGCGAGCTTCTGCCGAGGCTTGGGATGACGGCGTCGAGGGCACTGGGAACAGGAGATTTGCTTAGCATTGCTCGTACCTGGAGTGGTGACTTCTGACGCTTCACCTCCTGAGCAAATGGCGGTGTTTACCTATGAAGAAAACGATATTTCATTCCTTTTCCCTCCTCAGAACCAGTTGAATACCTGTGCATCTGAAATGCTCGCAAGCTGAGCTGGGCGCACACGGGAACAGACGATGACTGAAGTTCCGTGGCACGAGCTCGACTTACTGGAGGCATATGAACACAAAATGTACAGCAGAGTTCGACAGACTGGGACATCTGTGTTGCTAAGGCTGCAAAATGGAGAAGACCCGCGAAACGTGTTCACGCCTTCTGGCCTCCCGCGCTCCCCACCCTACCCCTTGTGCTGCAGGCTTTCAGACCTTGGCGAACTTGGGCCTGGTACTACTGTGCTGCACAAGGGGAACTGCTGGCATTTCCCTGGGTTATGTTGAATTATTCGACTCTCAGCTCCACCAGTCTGTGTTAACCTACAATTTGGTTTACTGCCAGGCCGTTTTTGTGTGAAAATTGGATTCCGAATTTTTCTTAGGAATACCGCTTCTCTTCCAGTTCATAAAGTTTATCCTGCTCTCTTCTGCTCTGAATGGCCTTCTGTCCCTCGCGGTCGTAATTGCCGTCTATTCGAACAAAGCAGCAGATGCCCAAACTAAGTGTTCAACATTCAACAGAGGTACAGCTTCCCTGTCAAAATGTACCTTCTGGTGGCGCCATACTGAATACAAATAGCTGCACTGCATGCATATAGTGTTGCTCTTGGTCCATGAGCTGTTTTGGCCTCCATGCCCACTCCACACAGAGTGTTTCTTCTATACGGATTCTTGGCTGGCTGGTTGCAGCACTCCTTACAGCAGGATGCGTAGATCAAAAGGCTTCCGAGTCCCGGGTTCCCGCTGTAACGCATTTAGTCATGGTCTTCAGTGCTGTTCTCCTCCTACCAGTTCTATTCAGGCGACAGGTAGAGGACACTCCGTGAACCCCTTGGAAGAACGTACTTTTTTTACAAGGGTGTCGCACCCTTCCACTGATTCAAAGCTTTTGCTATCCGAATTCTGCTTAGGAACACCTCAGGAAGACAGCCGGAGAGCAAGTGTACCAGCTACGGGATTTTGCACTTTTGTTGGACGGTTTTCCCGCTGATGCAGTAGACGAAGAAGAAATTGCCAGCTTTTTCTGCCGTTCACTCTTGCCTAACCAACCCCCGGAGTCTGTCGTCAAGGTTGTGATAGGCTTTGACGTTAGGCATTACGACGAACATGTAAAACTTCATGAGAGCTTGAAAGAGCGCCTCGATATTCTCAAGGTTGGCACTCACGCCTTCTCTTGCTATGAAGTTCCCTGGAGGTGGGAACTCCCCAGATGCGTTCCATTACGAACCCTCCGAGCGGCACGGTAGATGGCTGCAATTTTAGGCCGAAACTTGCGCTTGGAGAGTGTGGTGCCTTCGTACATATTGCTTCCTCGCATTGTTTTCCAAATAGCTGCTTGTGATCACCAATCCAACCATCACGGTCAGTTGCATTCACGCAGCTCTAGGTGTGTCATATGCTTCCACTACCTTTCACCACCTTTCCTCTCCATGAAAAGCGGAAAGGTGACTACGGGGAGGACTCCTATTCCACAAATGACTTACGCAAGCTGCTAAATCGCGTGGCGCAAGACACCCTGAGGTGACCCACTCAGACGATAGAAGAGAGCGACTGTCCACTAAAACTTTCTCCATACTTTGTATATTCCCAGCTGGATAGATGGCTTGCGGAAGACGGCGGCTTTCTAGATGCATATTGTGAAGCGCTAATGCAGCAAATAGTCGCTAATCATCGTGCACCACTCGCTGCTCACTCCAGTTCCCAGTGTTTGATGAGATATATTATTGGCTGTCCAGGAGTACCGGATACGCAGTGGTCGTCTGCAAGTATGCACAAGTAAGCAATTATCTTTGCCTGCTAGTGTGAGCGGCAGCGTTCTTGAAGGAGACCTCACGGAGTTTATGTTGCGGCACTGGCTAGTCTGCTGCACCACGAAGTGACAGTGGTGGTTCTAAGGGTGCACAGCATTCATGTGCGATTCCTGGCCTCCACACAGGATCGAGATGAATGCCTAGCAAGACTGCAGACGTGGAGATCTGTTTTGCGGAAGTGGACTTGTGGCCTACTTGGAAATAAATCGGCTCCTCTTTTCAGAGGGCAGCACCCAATATATGTGCGAATACCACTGAAAGCAACACCTCCGGATAAAAGCATTCTCTACACCAGAAGTCCTCGTATGGAATGGCACTACCCAATGCTATTTCAGAAGTATCAAAGGCTTAGAATCATTCTGTCGGGCCAGATGTGTGCAGTGATTTTCACCCGCAAAATCGAGCGCGAGTGCTGTGGTGCTAAGGTGGAACCGGCACCTCATCCTGAGGATATAGTTTGGGAAAACCTCAGCTTCTCCAAAGGAAAAAGGCTATCTGTTCAAGTGAGAAGATAAATTAGTGCTGCAGCAACAATTTCGACGTTTTCAGTGGAATGCTCGGGAGTTCCCATAGGGGAAGGATGGACTGTTCAACTGTTGTTTGAATTGCAGGCCCTGTTATGGGCTGTTGCACTGGGCTTGTGCATTGCTTCTTTTTGCATCGCGGGGATGCTTATTATTTTTAATATTAGCCTGAAGAATAAGGACTTCACTGGGGTCAGTTAGATGCTTTCCCTGACTAACAGCAAGATTGCGCCCTCGCGGGGATTAGAACGGAACCGTAATATTTTATATGACTTCCTAAAGGTGCCTGAGGGCTCATGGAACACAGATTGAGACTTGAGGTTTGCAGACTGGCATCGGTTTGATCAAGTTCGTGGAGGACTGGATAATGTCCGTGAACGGCAGTGCAATTCAAGAGGCTCTGAGCAACCCTGTAGGCGGCAGGCCACCGCCTGCAGTCTAAGGTGCAGGCTGCATGCAACTAGCTCTTTTCCGGGCTGCTCAGTTTCGCGCGCATGCTCTACTCTAGAGCTGCATCTGCCGCTAGTAGCAAAATGCGAGAAGCAGTAATTCAACGTGGAGTGTTAAGGCGCATGCTTGCCATTGGTTCTCTAAGCGTTTTGTCGCGTCACAATGAATGCACAGAACCTGGCGCTTGTTTCTGCAACTGTATTGGGGATTTTGCTGCTGCTGCGTGAGGGTTATTACTGCAGCTCGACAAAGAGTCATGGACATCTTTGCTGTTATCGATGTTACCGTCTGTGGCAATCAACTGCATAAACGCCCTCTTAAGGGTTGTCTTTTCCTTCTTGGTATGCCAGGTTTCGGACTATCTACAGCTGCCTACCTGCTTGTCATGCAGCACCTCAGCTGGCAGAGATTGCAAAGTATACAGTTTTGCTCACTGCTGTGGATTTGCTTTGTGCTTAAGTCTCTTAAGGAGCGCCACATAAGTCGAACTGCTGAGCAGGTACGGCCAACTCCCCTGTAAGGAGCACAGACTCTACATCATGTGGCTAGCTTTCTACGTGTAGTCACATACCGATTAACTGGCATAAGTGGCCGTTACGAAAAACACACGCTGCCGTTTTTGTCATTACGGGACCGTTCACGGAATGCTGTTAAGGTAGTTAGTTTTTGAACCCATACTGGTGCTCTCTCGATTTGCAAAGTTAATCAACACAGGTAGCGTTCATGGTACGGTTGACGATTACATACACCATAAACACTGGGCTGACGTACATAATTGTGCTCCAGGACCCGCGGTGGTGGTGAGCTCTGCCCAAACCAGCAATTCCTTTGCAGTGCTTCAAACTCAGCGCTAGGGGTCTCTAGTGGCAGCTCGTAGCGTCCGTGGTACAGAGAGATTCTATTGGCTATATACCTCCTAACCTTCCAACACCTATTTTGTTTGGTTGTGTTAGTGGATGGCAAGCCTTCATCTCGTGTGTGCGGAACGCTTTGCAATGCTGCTCCCCTCTGCAGGTATGTTCGAGGGGGCCTCATTGAGTGCGTCGCGATGCAACTGCTGTCTTTTCTTCTGAGTGAAATCGCATTGTCTCTCCTGCAAGTGCCCTGGCTGGTAAAATTACTAGTTGAACTGGCTGTTGAGAAGCATTGACTTTACGTACATTGCCTTCGTTGTTCCTGGGACGCATTTTATTCGAACCTGTCTCCACCAAACCTGCTCGGATGTCTCGGCTCATTCTCTGAGTTGTTGGGGTGGCAGACACGCGTAATGCGCCGTGATTGTTTGTTGCCAATGCTAAAGAAGCCCATATCTCAGGCAGATTTCAACCGCCTGCAAGAGGGGCCCGACTTCTGCACTCCAACTAAGTGAGAGAGCATCCTATGGCTGTCTTCGGGAACACGAATGACTACTTAGGGGAGTTTTGCGTAGCGTAACCCATTTGCTTGTGCGGTCATTGTTTATTGAGCAGGTATGCGGCGATGATGCAAGGTTTCTGCTCGCTTTCCCTTTATGTAATCGTTGCCCCCTTCCTCAGTATACAAGCCATTTGCACATGGCTTCTGCTGTACTGGATATACAAGGGTGCATTATTGCGTCTAGCGAAACGTCCTAACCCCGAAATGACACCAGTAGTAAACCAAGTACGTGGCTTGCCTTTATCCTATGTAGACGCCTGGAAGACCGGGGAACTGAGCCCTGTATACTGCACCGGATTAAACCAAGGCTACAACACTATTGGCGGTTCGCCTGAGAGGCTTTTTCAAGTGGTCATTATTCAGTCACCTAATTAGCCAAATAGAATAATTTCTAATATCTGCAACAGGCCGTTAGGGTCCTTCGAGCATCGGTATTGCTCCTAGCAGCTGGATCGTTGATGATGCGGCCCACGACAACAGGAAGTGCCGTCCAGACTCTCCATATATGTGGCTTTTCTGCGGGACTAGTAGCGCTCATTTCCATCTTGCTACCACGCTGGTTACAACTCAAACTGACCTACCTTTGTGCTGTGAGCCCCTGAAGTGCACAGTAGTTTTGCTATCTCAAGGTGACACTTTGTACGCAAAAGGCAAGGAATAATGCAAGCGATTAGGTCCGAGTGGGCTCTGAAGCGTCCTGGTGCCCGTATGTTCTTCCCGTGCCGTTCTCAGGCGGGAGCAAGACCCGCCACGTGGCAAACGGTCCATTACTACAAGCTCCAGCACGCCTTCTTTGTGCATTATCACACGTCCAATCCAGTTTACGCTTCGTGGGGGCCAGAAAAAAACCCGCCCTTCCTCCGGGAACCGGGAGTAAATGCTTGTGAGCCTGGTGCCACAGCAAAGGCATTCGCTGCAAGAGGTGCAGCAAAGAGAGCCAGGCGCCGCATGGCCGCTTTTAAGACGAGCGCGCTCGGAAACGCTTCTGCGTGTCACACTCCAAAAGCAGTGAGTAGAAACCCGCACCTGTCAAGCTCCCGCAGCTGCTTCAGCAGCGTTGATCAGGAGACCTGTAAATAGTAAAGTGGCAGAACGCGCTTGCTAAAATTCCTGGTCTCAGGATGGCATCAATTCATCAGCCACAGCCCCAGATTTTACCGACCATAGTGACGCAACTGAAAGCATCAGCAACGACAGCAATGGTAACGAAAGCCCGTCAAGTGATGAGCTTGTTCCCAACGCAGCAGCGACGAGGAGGTTGAGGGCTACACTTGTCGAGGGGAAGGCTGCTCCCCAATTCCAGCGGCTCTTCATAGAGTCACAGGCAAAGAACAAAGTTAAATGCCAACCCAAAAAAAGGCCTCGTCCCGCTCAAGCCACTGAAACTACGATACAACCAATGGAAGCGGCTCCGGGGCACACACCCTGTTTTCCAGGCACACCCACGGATAAGTGCATGGTTGAGGCAACGAAGGGTCCCGCAAGAGTGGAGGGAACTTTACGAAGCCAGCAATCTCTACTGAGTGGAGAGGCTCTCCCTAGGAACGCCATGATAGAGTACTACAATACGGGAGAGTCAGAGCCGCCCAACAGTTTCCTGGGCTGGCTCCGAAGTCTCGTGCTGAAGCATCTGTATTTTCTAGGGTGTTCACTCACCGAGTCGGCAGGCAGTGGAGGATGTGGTGATGCCGCCTGCGGGATGCAAAGTCGGTGAAATTCCAGTGTACTCGTGCAGTTAAAATGCTGCCACAGATTGTCTGGACGCAGCTGCATATGCGCACAACAGTGGCTGAAATTCAAGCCCTGTTTGGCTCTCTGATTTTGAGTAGTTAAGAAAGACAGCTGCCACCTGATGTGGCGAGGTTCAGGGACGCTACCATTGCCCAAACGACTCGTTGCGCTTCCAGCCACGTTTATTTTTAACAGCACAAAGCCACGGGGAAATGACTTGAAAACTCAGAAGGAAATTGCCACGTCTTTCGAAAAGAAAATGGGGCACAAAATGCCTGCCGATCGCTGGTGGAAGCATCTGATCAAGGCGAGAACCTTACGCTACAACCGCATACCCACGCACTGCACACACCCTACTGTGCGATAGCGGTTCCGGTCGAAACTCGCGCAACTGCTGCCGCTACTCGACGAAGCAGCAGCATAGTCGCAGCAGGGTTAAAACAGATTGGAATTGTTTGGATGCAATTCCTCTGCTCACACGTTTTTCCACTGGGTCTTCAAACCCACCAACTATGACACACAACACACTGTTCAGTCTGACACGCCTGAGCTGATCGGTTCGCCGGTCTGCAAAATTTAAGTAAATTACATTCGGTGGGACCTGCTCGGCGAATGCAACAGAACATTTTCTCTCGTCTGTGGCAGGGAACCCCTTGTGCGCAAGTGCTGCCACATGCCCAACGCTGGCGGAACCTCTCCTACTTGGCGGCTATCGTCTCGAAGCAGAGACTCGCTCCCTCCCATCGCGCTGGGCGCATCTACACTAGGCGGAAGCCGCCGAAGTGCATCACCAGCCCCTGCCGAATGGCCCTCAGACAGAGCAGCAGCAGCAGCTCCGCTAGGAACGCTTCGTGAGGCCTCGTGAGTTCCACAAAAACTGACACATTGCGCTGAGCGTTGTATGTCCACGTCCGCGGGGTCATAATGAGGAAATAGCCTCGTCGGTGTTGCTGTGGCTACTCCTGTGCCTCTGCGCAGTGTGGCACTGTCATTTACACCGCCGCTGCTGCACCCCAAAGGAGGCAAAGAGCTCCGCTGCGGTGCAGTCGTCCCCCAATGACTGGGGCCGGCTGCATCCGTCACAGGGGGGGTAGGCTGAGTAAATGTGTCCTGCGCCAAAGAACGGTAAAGGTTTTCTTGCTCCTGCTGATGGAGACGATGCTTCTGTTGACTGAAAAGTGGGGGCCTCCATTGTCCAGATGCCCGCAGAGGGTTGGCGGGGTCTTCAGCTTCACTGTCGCTACTGCTACTGCAACCGCTCGTGCTTCCTCTCCTGTCAGTTTGACCAACACTATGGTTGCTAGAGCTGCTGCTGCAGCTCTCTCCGGCGCTAGCAGCTCCACTGGCACTGATGGGCTGCTGCACTTCAGGGACGCATGGCCCTCGGTCCGTTCCGGAGCCTTCTACGCTGGTGCCTTCCGCAGGAATTACAGATTCTTCTCCACGGCGGTGTAATGTGCTGTATGCTGGACGACTATCTGCCTCCTCGGCGACGAAATTCCTGCAGTGCGGGGGACCTGGCCAGCACGGGTTTCTCTGTGATTGGTCTTTATTGGGAAGATGATGCGGATCCTCCTCAAAGTTGGCCCACCGCCCATCAGGAGGAGCGGCAGCCCCTTCCGCTTGAGCTGCTGACACGGACTGCCCTGCGGTGGCAGCTGCCTGGCCGGGTACCGCAGGCCTGCCTGTCTCTGTTGCTTCTGTATTCGCCGGAAATGTTGGCAAATCTTCATCTGGAAAAAGCAGTTGGCGCCTGTCTGCCTCTGCTGCTGCCTGCATCTCTCTGTGTTGCTGCAGCTCACGGTGCAGCATATGTTCCTGGTGTAGCTCCTGCTGTAGTCGCTGCTGCCGCATGTGATGCCCATCCAAGGACTGCGAAAGCAGCGCAGGAGAGTCCACAGGGGTTCGCTCCCGTGCACCTTCATTTTGTTGATGCGCTACTGCGTGAAGCGGGCCCGTAGGGCCGGGATGATCACAAGGCGGCTTCCGCCGGTGCTGCTGCTGGTGGTGTGGATGCCCCGAGTCAGGGCCACAATTGTCTGCTTGCTTTTGCAACGGGCGCCCCTCAGCGCCGAACGGCTCGGGGAAGTCAGGAGGCAAGAGCCAAGCAGCTGCAGCCGCTGCTGCCACCTGTGGGGTCGCATCTGACGAAGGCCCGCCCGCCAAAGTTGCACTAGCAGATTCTGTTTGCAGTGTGTTGTCTGAAGCTTTGTTCCCGCTAACTGTCCCCCGCCAGAGCTGTTGCCGTCGTTGTGGCTGTTCCGGGTGCTTCTGCTGCTCGTGTCGCTGCTGTTGGGAGGCATCTTGTTGCTGCTGCAGATACCCCCTTGTGCGGACAAAACGTCTGCGGCCTGAGGCGCCCCTCGTCTTACATCTACCGCTGTCAGCGCTGCTACTTCTGCTGCCATCTTTCCGCACGCCTTGCGTTGCTGGTACTCTTCGAGGGGGCGGCGAGGGAAGCTGCTGCTGCCGCGGCTGCAAGGTTGCCTTAGCCGCGCCACCGCAGGCTGCTGGGGCTGCCGCTCCCGCAATATTAGCAGCAGCGCCAGTAGCCGCAGCACCGAACATTCCTCTTCCAAAGATATTCGCTTCGGTCCCCTGCATATCCGGGCCTCTGTCTGTAGCTTCATTGTCACCGTCGCTAGTGCTGTCACTGCTACTGCTGCTGCAGCTGCTGCTGTCACTGGTGCTGCTCTTGCTGCTGCTGTCAGTTTCTTCCCAGTACGCTGTACTCCTCTTTGGCTTGTTGGATTTGCTTATTTCCGCAGCACCAACAGCGTGTCGTGGCGCTGTGGAATAAATACAAGTCGTGAGGCTCCTCCGTGCAGTAGCCGCTGGCGTTGCCGCCGTTGCCGTTCTTGCTGCCTCTCCTGTCCGTATCTGAGGCCCCGCGGATGAAGCCCGCGAGCCGCAACGGCCTGCGAGGCGGAATGCACTGGCGCAAGAGTAGTCCCTCACTCGCCCCTTGTTTGTTGTCCTCGCTGTTTCTCTTGACGAAGTCCTCGACGGGGGTATTTCCGAGGAACTGCGGCGCTGTTGCGTCGAAGCACTGGCTTCTCTTCTGAGGGGGGGAGGTGTCGGCACAGCCGTTGTTGCCGTCGGACTTCCTTGACTGCTGGTGTGCTCGCACCCTTCAAAGATAATTTGTGCTTTTGCCGCGTCCCCGTCGCTCTCGCTGGAAGGAACAGAGTCCCAAGAAGGGCTATCACCCTCAGGCTTCGTTTGGTCCCGCCCTGACAAGGCAGCTGCTGCCGCCTCATTTATCGTGTCTGCAGCCGCCGCAACTGACGGGGATACGCCGCACATGGACGGGTGGAAACCCTGCGGCGCTGTGCTACAGCAGGGTGCCGCCCTGTGAACCTCTTCTTCGCAATTCCCTGGAATGGGTTGTTGTGCTCGTTGCCGCTCGCACTGGCGAGAAGGGTTTGAGCTGCTTGTTTGGTTCTCACTTACACCTCTTTCGATCTCTCCTTCGGTAGGTTGAGTGTCCCCTCGCTGCTGTTGTTGGTTCTGCTGCTCCACTTGACTCTGTTGCTGCTGCTGTTGGCTCAGCGGGTGCTGCTGGGGCTCTTGGTGCTGCTTCTGCTTCCACTTTAGCCACTGACCTATTTCACTCTCGCACTCTATGAGCCTCTTCTGCTTATTTTGCTGTTGCTGCTGCAGCTTCTGTAGCTCATGCCAACGCAAGGAATTACTCGTGCTGCTCCAACCGGGCTGCTGTGCAGCTGCTGCCCGGTGCTCCTCGAGTTCGCGTTGCAACTCCTGCTGTTGCCTTTGAAGGCTTCCGATGGAGCGCAGCAGTTGCTGCCTTTGTTGCTGCAGCTTCTCAAGCCGGGGTTCCGCCTCATTTGCCTGCTGTTGCGGGCTTTCTTGCCCTTGCTGCTGGTCATTTTGCTGTTGTGTGTCAGGTTGGTGCTGCTCCGTTGTGAGTTGGTCCGGCGGCACTAGAGTCGGAGAAGGCGTCGACTGCTGCACAGGTTTGGCAACGACAAGCAAATCAGGATGTCTGTATAGTGGCTGAATGGGCAAGAGCAGCTGCCTCGCATAGGACTCAGCATCCAGAAGTGCGATGCGCGCTTCGTTCAGCCTGCGAATGCGCAAAAACAGTTGAGAGCACGCTGCTCGTGGGGCATTCTAGCCCTTGCCACGCAATTCGCTGGCACCCCTGATACACTGATACTTGCAGACCGCAAAACACTTAAAGAGCATTCTCCCGTACCCCTACCTTTTAAAGTGGTTTTCGTGTCTGAGACGGAGGTCTTCAGAGAGAGCAGAAGCCTTGTCTGGATGCCACAAAATACTCATGCGACGAAATGCCTGCGGAAAGAGACAGATTGTACATGACCTGGAGAGCATAAACGGCCTCAAGAACACAGGCAGCCTGCGGAGAAGACGAAACAGGCGAAAATGCAATGCAGAGGCAGGTCTCGGTCAGCCCTTAATAGGTGATGGTTGCATCCCTTTAAGTGCACTGAACAGAGAAGACAGTGGGGTCGAGGTAACAAGCAAATAGGCAAAAACGCATAATCCCCTGCAAGGTGCTCAGTAGATTACCCGATTTACTGCCGCTTTGGGAGCGCCCCTTTCGATCCCCAAGACTTGGAAGCTAGACGCATGCAACTGCGCTTCGTAGAGTCGTCGCCTGCACACAAGGAATCGAGCGGCGCACCAAAGCAACAACGCACAGGCGCACACTTATGGCTTTCAGTTATTTCGCCAACACAACAACGGAGCAATATGCCTTGCGAGAAAACCTCGAAGAATCGCTGAGGCTGCGACGGCGACGGACTGCCGCAATGTGCTCCAACAAGTAAAGGAAATGTCAGGATAAGCGGATGAGAAATAAATAGAGCCCGTACTTCTGGTAGTGCTCAGCGGCGAAGGAATCTGGGCAGTGCTGCCTCATAAGCTGCATGTAATTGAGCGCCCCCTCGAAGTCCAGCAACCATTCGCAAGCCTAAAGAGAAAACTCAACAAGGGCAACGCGCGTACTAAACTGAAATGTACACATATTTAGATTGTTTATTAGCACGCATAGACCTTCTGTCATTCACGGATGTTCGTCTCCATTAGGTTGAGGCCACAAGCGTTTGCCCTTTCAAATGCATTGGTCTGTTGCCATCTCCGCGTCGCATGTTATGCTTCCCACTTCCTTCTCTTGCATGCTCCCCTCACCTCGGCGGCGGTTTCGTAGGCAGCTTTGTAGTTTGGAGTCATGCTTAGGCATAGGGAGCAACTCTGAAGGCTGCAAATCCAACGGCCAAGACGGAGAGCACTTCGGCCCTAAAGTGCCACAAATAATTACACAGCGGTACACCGATGCTGCAGCTGTACAGGCCCAAGAAGGCGAATGTTGACTCCAACACCTGCTGCGCTGGCGAAAACAAGAGCTTGCAGATCTGCTACCGCGTTTGAGGGTGAAATCAGTTCGTCACTGTGGTTGCGCCCAAGCCACGCGTTACTTATAATGCAGAAGGACCCAGATTTTAAAGTACAGCGAAAATCACGGCGTGAACACCACTTTGACTTTGCAGCACTCACGAGACTCCTCCCCGTACCTTGTTGAACGCAAGTTTTGCTGTGTTTTCCATTAGCGAAACATTGGAGGAGCTGACGCCACCAGTGATCTCATCAAGCTGCTGTTGCTTCTCCAGCAGCCGCTGCTGCAGCTTCAGAGCCTCGGTGTACAGAGCAAGGGCGGATTCGTTACGATGCTGTCTGTACAGAGAGCTTGCCTGCGCACACCGCATGCACACGCCTGCGCATAGCACCTTTCAATTGCCGTGGGTATTCGATTCTTGTGAGTACTTGCTGTCGCCACAGGCTGATTGCCTAACCAGAGTGTTGCCTTGCGTATATGCGCTGCCTCCACACCCCGCATTCGCAGCCACGACTACGGCACTTGCGACACAAAAAGCGAATTCACATGTAGCCGTGAGCTGTCTAACTCGCCTTAGCTGCATATTCGAACACGACGCTCCGCCAGGCCCTTAAGTTGCAAGACACGCCCGAAATTTCTTCCTGAAACTCTGCACGTCGCTGCAGTTCTCCCGCTGCTGCAGCCTTCTGTGGCTCGCTCAATTCTTGTAGATGCGGGGGCAGCAACAGGGGGAGCAGGTCTGCCGGGGTCTTGCCCTGCTTGTTTTGCGCGTAGAGGAGCTCGCAAGGAAGGGAGGTCAGATTAAGTGTACCAAAGAGCTGGGGCAAATTCCTGACGGTAAATAGCATGCAATACATAAAGAAGATATAAAACCACCCCCAAAACAAGCAATACGTATGGGCTCCTACCCTCCGCCCCACCAATGTAGAACTGTGTGGCACTGGACACACTGGGAGATGAAGTCAACATAACACCGAGCGGATGCCAAAAGATAATGCCTACGCACGACCGTTAAGCAAAGGCCCTGCAAGGAAAGTTCCAATGCACTGCTGTGCCTATCCACAGTGATCGCAGAACAGACTGCGAGAGCATGTGCAGCAGCTTGCCTTAGGCAGATGAGGTGGAACACATTGTTGCCTGAATCTCTGTCAGTCAGAGTCGCTGCGTGCAGAGCCAGTGGGGCAGTCCCGTGCCGCAGAAGCCCTGCTGCCGCAGCCACTCCCCCGGAACCTCGCAAGAGCAACTGCAGCAACACGTGCTGCCGGCGCTCCCCTCGTGCTCCGCCGCTTCCAGAAGGCATCACGCCACCGTTATCTGTAATACTTCCCTCAGGATATGCTCCAAGTGTTTTTTTCCCCTGCACCAAGCCATTCCCGTTGGTGCCGTCCCCGCTGGAGTGGCAGCAGCTCCCTTCTAGGAATTTGTTGCCAACTGTGTCTTTTAGGAGCTGCAACCAGCGCGAGTTAGCAAGCAAGATCCCCTGCTGCTTGAGACGGAGCAAGGAACCGATGTTTTGCACAGTGAGAAGCGGCAGCAGCACGTCTTCAGAAAGCGCTGTGCCCAAAACGTCGTATGCCTCTCGCTCCATCGACTCGTCTATTGACGCAAGTCCGCCCTGATGCTGCAGCTGCAATTCAGTGGTGCTCGCCGTCATGCTGGACGACGCAGCGTGCCGTTGCTGCGAATACACCCGAATCTGCATGCTCTCCGCTCTCAGCCTTTCCAGAAGCATGTCTACAATTTCAGGGTCGGCTCCTGCTGCTGGGCAACGATGGAGAGCTTCGCGCACTCCCAAGGCAGCAGCCCCTGTCGCCGCTGCTGACGAAAGTGCTGACTCGCCGGATACTCTATTTTCCATGGAGCAGCGGCAACTGTGCAGTGCAGCCCGAAGCTCCGCAACCACCGCCTCATGCTGGTCATCGCTGCTGCAGCAGCAACAGGCACTGCAGCCCCACGCAGTGCATGAAGCGTTCTCAGCTGCCTCCACACAGCACCAAAGACCGGTTGCAGAGTTGGTGTCCAACGACCCTCCCTCAGTCCTCCTAGGGGGCAGCGAAAGCCCTCCACTAGGCGGGTTCGGGCGCCCCCCGCCTGTCGCTATGTGCTGAGCAGGCGAGTCGCTACGGACACTTCCATGAAGATTCTCCTTCTCCAAGTCCGCTTCGTTTACTCCAGAGCTTACTCCGCTTCTGTCCTTCTCTTCAGACGATCCTGAATGATGCATTCGGTGAGACAGCTGGCGGCGCAGGCGACGAACCTCTGCATACAGATGCTGCGTGTCCTGCTGCTGCTGCTGCCTCACCTCCTCAACCAACAGTCTCGCCTCATCTCCCAACGCTACGCGCTGTTGTAGCTGCTGTAGGGAAGCAGTAACATCGAGATAGTTGCCTTCCGCAGCTGCAAGGCGATCCGCTCTCTCTTCGAGCTGCTGCTGCAGCAAGCTCACCTGACGAAGCAGCAGCCCAGCTTCAGTTTCCCGGCTCGCGAGCTGCTGTTCTTGCTGCCTCAACAACTGTTCTTGATGCCGCAGCAGCGCGTCCTGCTGGTGCAGTTGCTGTTGCTGCTGCTGCAGCAGCTGCTGTTGTTGTTGCAGCTGCTTGTGGAGTTGAAGTTGCTGCTGCCTACTTGCATGCTCCCTTAGCTGAATGCGTCGCGCTACTGCATGCAGCCTGGCAGCATCAGCAGACGCGTGAGTTGAGTCTGACTCCTCCTCACTGTCTCCTTGGCGGACAGCCTCCCGCATTGTGTCCCGAAGGCAGCAGTGGGGGCTGCGAAAAACGGCTTCCCTAAGCCCAAGGCAGGAGACACTCGTTCCAGTTTCCCGTGCTGGATCATAAGCGGGAATTTGCGAACTAGGACTTCACAGCCGCCCGCATACTCCTCGATGTCGTGAAACTCTCGGCAGGGTTAATCGGATGGGTGTGTCTGCCTCAGCTCCGTTATGGCTTCCCCCCCAGTTGCGTCAATAACATGCAATGCGTTCGTCGGTGAGGGAAGAGGGGTCATCAGCCGCTGAGACCTTCAGGAGGCCATTTTGCGCGGGTGCGACAAAAGAGGGTCAGATGTCTGCGTAACCTCACCACATCCTCTCCTGGAGCCAGGAGGATAGTCCTGGCGGAAGTGAGAGTAAACTTCAACCAAGAATGGCTGCAACACCAAACCGTTAGCTATACACGCACCTGCTTCGTCAGGTCGTCCGCCACAGCCTGTAATGCCAAAGATGGTGAAGTACCGTATAGGCATGGGCCGCATCAGGGACCTCGGCCCCCTTCGACGGAAAGCACACCAAAATGAAGGCTAAGACATTTGAACGTTAAGAAATTTCCAGTGTAAGTGTCTTGCAATCCTCCAAAAAACTATTAATGACGCACAACTATGTTCGGGGCCCCGGGGGCCCGGTTGACGGGGTGGTGAGGCGGGGCTGAGTGGGACAAGCATATATTTATAGTTCAAAAGCGCTTTTATGCACGTTCTTTGCAATAAAAAGTACAATATATGGAATAACACTGTCACTGACCGGCAAACTCGCACTAATTGGCGGAAAAGCCTGAGGATCCTGTGATTGGGCTCCTGGCTCCCAACGCCGTATGCGTGAAACGCAAAGCCTACAGGATCAGTGGAACCTAAGCCTTTATGGTATCGAGCATATTATTAAGCATTTAGACAGAGTTGCGTTTCCGGCCCGGAAATCCCTCCCGCCTCTGTCTTGGGTTCGTCAATTGCGCGGGGATAGGGGAGACGGCCAATAATTGATTTCATAGCGCAGAAACTGTACAAAGTTAAAGCTTAAGTAGCCGCACATCGTGGTCATGTCGCTACAGATCTGTCCAGAGTTAGAAGCCTCATCAAACCTCCCAGCATGCAACAGACTAGGTTTGAAGGGCTTGTGAATGTATGGTCTGTCCAAAACTGGTACACGAACGCCTACTTCACCTGAGTGAGCACCCTGCACCCAACAGCAAGTATAATAATTCTCTGCTGTGTTCGTGCAGACAGAGGAAGGGCTTGTTTGTGCTTGTTAAGATGCCTGCAGCGCTGCTTGCAACGAGGTGCGTTTCAACTCGTATCGTTTCCTACCCCCCAACCCAGGATTGCTGGTAGCTATGCCCAGACCATCTGGAGACTGGGGGTGAGGTCAGCCGATTTTTGACAACTTTGGTCTTTTTGGCTTGGTCGAAGGTCACGGTGGTCTTCGAATGAGATCCGGTACACTCTTTACAATTGGTAGTGCAGCCTGATTGATGGGGACACGTGCAAGCAGCCACATCCCCATATCAGGGCAGCCTGAAAATAGCAGTTAATGGTACATCAGTTGATATACAAAATACAGGAGGGTGTTTTGAAACCCTCCCAAGATCTTTACACAGCCCCAATTTTCTTCGCCTCCTGCATCATGGGGATTGACCTCCGGTGGAAAGACGAACAAAGGTTGGGAGCCCCTTTGTGATAACACCACCCCAGCATCTGTATCCCGTCCAGCGGAAAATGCCTTTGCAAACAAAACAATTCCTGGAGAATGCCTCCGCATTTGCTGCCCGTCCAGAGATGACGGTCGCTACGATGCGTGTGCAGTGTAGAAGTTCTTTGCTTTTCTGGATCTGTATTTCCGTCACAAAAATGAACCTGAACAGCTACAATTGCCATCGGCATCTTTGGGGAGGAACGAATATGGGGTCTTACCAAACAACGCCACCTCTCTTTGCGCAACAGGAGTACGAGTACTTTCAGAGAAGCGTTGCGATGATGGGGGATGAGCAACACCGAAGCTGCTGTGTCGCTCATTTCGGTTGATATGAAAAAGGGCTTGCCGAAATCAGGTAGTGCAAGTACTGGTGATGAGTTTAGGCGTCTGATGAGGCATTTGGCGGCTTCCTGTTCAATCTCTGCCCAAAACCGTTGTTTGCCCATTTTGACTATGTCCATTAGAAAGGCGGCGATACATGCGATCTCAGGAATAAAGTTGCGGTAATACGAAGCGAGACCGATGAACTTCCGAAAGTCTGTGAGAGTATAAAGGGGAATGGGCCACCTCCGAATGATATACATCTTTACCGGATTCAGTTTGACTCCTGGTAGTGTGACACGAAACCCTTAAGGACCAAGTAAATGCAAAAAAGGGACTATTTGTGCTTCTTTAAACAAGCAGTAATCATGTAGGACCTTCCGAACACGCCGCAAGCGTTGCACATGTTCCTGTACGTTGCGGCTGAGCACGTGCACATCGTCCATGCATTTACCGTACAGCCCCCATACATTTAGCGGCAGGTTGGTGCTCAACCTGCTGCTACACTTTTGCCGGTATACTAGCGAGCCCGAAAAACGCATGAATCATTAACCATACTTTGCGGATGCCGCAGTGGGGCTTTGATCTGTGTCTATCGTGGGGATGCATTGGAATTGTAAAAACGCGCTGGCGAAGTCAAATGAATGCATTGCTGGACCCTGCAGGCGAGCAAGTAGCTCCTCAATCCGGTGCCTTGGAGAATTTCGTGTTAACAACGATTTTCTTGAAGGGCTTGAAGGCGGCGCACATGTGGTAGACCCCTTTTGTTTTGCCGCGAATTTATTGAGGGGCTTGAAGGCGGCGCCGATGCACCACTTCCCCCACGTTTTCGTCGCCAGCACTGGACTGTCTCCAAAAGCGTTAGTTAACGGCTAAACTTTACCTTTGCTTAGCAGTTCTCTTGCCTGCATTCCTATACCCTCTTCAAGGAGTGAGCGTCGCCCATCTTCTGGAACACAACTCGTTGAGGGTCCATTTGGCGTCCAACGTGTGGGCGGCCCGACGGTGCACCCTTGCTATTTGATGTGCCTGGGAACCCCTGCTTCAACTATGAACCCTCCTTTTGTTCTCCATGTGTAAACTGGACTGAATAACCCAAAATTGAGGTCTTTCGTCCTCCACAACGGAATGCGTGCATTTCTCCGTCATTTCCGGTAGCGCTTCTGCAGTGCATTGAGGCCTCCTCGCACCCTTCGTACTGGCATTACTTAGATACTCCCTCCACCCCTCTAACTGTAGATGGTTCAAATCCTGTTGCTACCTGTTAAAGGTGGACTCGCGTTGCTCCCCGGCACCTTGACCTCAATGGCGTCATCTGGCCGCCGCCTGGATTCCTTCCTGAGCCAACCAAGGCATGCCTAGGAATATGTCGTGGCGAATGGGTCCAACATGAAAGCCCCGTATCATGGTAATATGACCCGTGTTTAGGTTAAGGTCACATTTTACGCTCATAGTTTCGTCGGTCCTCCTGTCTGCAACCGGAGTAAGGTAGCTGTTTCGAGTGCATCAACGAATAGCCGCAGTATCAATAGGCTGTATATGTTAGTCATTTTCTAAGTTGTTTTCGACATTTCCACCTAGAGTGCTGAATGTGCGCTTTTTCCCTCCTTGATGCATATGTATTTCACCATCTCGGCTAGTTCAGCCCTTTCATTGCTTAGGTCCCTTTCCTCGGCATAGCCTGTAACGGACCCTCGATCAAGGGGAAAGCCCCGCTAAACGACCGATAAAGCAGCCTTGATTCCACCGTTCGTCAACAATGATTGGCAGTTGTCGATGCAACGCTCCACCGATAGCTTCCCTTGTTTAGTTTTTGCCATATCGCCATCGCCTTTTCCCCTGCAGACCCGGATATGTACATAGATCGCAGCGGACGTCAGTGGCTACATCCAAGCACGGTTATCACTTCGCACGCGCATATTCAGATTAGGGGAGCTTTCCACTTTCGTGGCACGCCAGCCAGTTAAGTGGATATCAATAGCGACTGTAGCTCTCCAGGGGCATTTTGAAGACGATTGTATACCTCCACAGAAGCAAAGAAATTCCCCACTGCGTTGCCAGTAGGTAGAATTGCGGTAGAATGCGCGTGAGCTGAAGACAGGGGAAGCGAGAAATGTGCTGTAATAGACGGTAAGTTATGGAATGCGTTAAACGGGGACACAGAATACGGCTCCCCCTCATAGTACCAATTGTGAACAGCACGAAAGAGCTCTTGCTCATCAAAAAAGGCCCTATTTACTTAGAATCTAGTGCCAAATGCTAGCAGTATGATGGAGTCTCTGCTCATGGCAACCGACTCCGTTTGCTTAGCAATGCAACTTCATGAAAGGTTTCGACTGCAGCCGCCTGTCCCGTCCACAACTCCATGTCTCACGGCCACCACAGTAGTTTGTAGCTTTTCTGCGAAGATGTTCGGTGACCGTCCAGGCGAAGCCAAGAACCTCTAGGAGATAATTTCAAAACGGTCAGCCATGTTCGCTGGGCCTCTGCTACGCCGCAGCCTCTCAGCTGTCGAGTACTGTATACCGTCGAGAACAGCTTCGTGATACATGCAAAGAGTCGCTGATGATTGTGTAGTGCCCCGCCTGCAGACGGTTCCATTTGATCATGCCAGTGAATGCTCCCAAACGCGCGTAATAGCCCGTTATCCGACTCTGCGCACCTTTCCTGTGTTTTTCTTCACTCTGGGGCCAATCAGTACTCCTCCGTATTGTTTGTTGCTTCTATCGCAATACGCAGCGCAACGTTGCGTGAGTCGCGAGGGTTACTAGAACGTCTCGAACACAAACTCGCTTGCATGGTCCACTTAAGCGTCCTGCGTATCTTGTGCTAAGAATCCACAAGCGCGTGTCAGTTGCTGCACATGCAGACGTTCTATTTCTGGGCTACTGTGATAAAGCTGACTCGGAGAAATTTCGCACATCGCTCCATTAAACCTTATTCCAGAGGCCTCTCACGTTCGACGGAAATTTCCACAGGTTGACGGAGCCAAGCATGTCCCTTCCTGTAATTGCTTAACTATTTTAGCGATGATGCCACCAGCGCAAGCCGTGGCTCTTGACAGTCTGCTCTTGAGATTCAACAGTATAGACTGGAACTACAAAGCGGCACAGTCTCCTCCCAGAAGAAAATTCCAGCCGGCCTTCCTTCGCACGAAATACAGTTTTGAATATCTGGTTGGCCAGCCAGGAAAGCATACTGCTGCCAAAAGCAACAAGGGTATAGTTGGGCTGCTGTTTGGCTACAGCTCGTTCGCAGGCTGCCGGGCTAAATTCGGCTCTGCATGCCGCTTCTGTTTGTAGATTGCCGAATCTTCTGCCTGTTCATGCTTCAAAACATTTCTCAAACTGACATCCACCTGAAGCAGCAGCACCAACAAAGTGGCCACGCCGGCAGCGAAAAACGCCAGCAAAGGTCCCCACTGCGAATCTATGCGTTGTTGCACGTTAGCTGCGCCTGCTTTCGCAACTCTCCTGCGCACAGAAGCAGGCAAACACCAAATGTTGGGTTCATGCCTATTCACAGTGCTGCAACTCGGCATAAACACAAAGGAAAGTGGGAACAAGTTTGAGGCAGCAAAGTACCAGAAGAAAAGCCAACGCTCTGGTGCTAGCAGGCCTACTGGGATATTCGACGGCATCGTTTGACATAGATGGCGTAGGCGCCGCAGCACAGAAGGACGCTCGCAAAAGCTAGTATTAGTACCACACCCAATCCCCAGTCTCCGGAGAGAGTTTCCACACAGCTGCGGGATGCAGAACAGAACACAGTCTGCACTAAATACAGGTACAACAGCCCACAGCAATGCATCCATGCTGAAGATGCGAATGGAGATGCGCCGTGAACACAGGAGCAGATAACTGGTGAAGCAGATACAAGGTCGTTGCAGAGACCGCGCCGAGAACGCGAGAACTCACGCAAGGCTAGCTCCTGCCAAGTAAAGCCCCTTTTGAATGTAATGCAGAAATGTGCGTTCCGCAGCGAAGGATGTCTTGGGGTCGATCTTCTTGACGGTCCGTATGTGCCGGCGCGCTAGCCGTTGGCGCATCGAATCTGCGCTGCTCGCGCTGTTTGCCCGGGGGTGCTCATCTTCGAACTCCTCCTCTACAGACGCCTCCTGCCCTATGGCACGCGGTGCCTGCTGCAGCTGCAGCTTTTGTTGCGCCCTCAGCCAACAAAAGGTGCGGTGCGCTGCTGTTGCCGTCACATCCTCCTGCATGCAAACACAATCCCAACATGAAATCCCGTGTCGGCGTGTTCACACCAAGAGGCATGCCGCACTAAATGGACTACAGCCTCCCAAAATACAAACTGAAGAGGGGGTTCCCGCCATCTTTGCAGGCGTCGTCAGAGGCACTCTATAGCTGCCCACGCTTGCTTACCCAGTCTGGATCAGCCTCGACCACTGCCTCACTTTCGCCTGCAGGAGACAAACAGAACAATCTCGGACGTTTAACAAGGCGAATGCCTCCTGCACGTACTAGTATGTGCCATTAAATAACATCTATACCCGCAAAAACTACACTTTGGAATGCATGAGGGGCAGAAATGCTGGACAGACCTACAGGGAAGAGGCTCCGGGTCTCCATTCCAAGTGCGTCGGAAGTCAAAAACCGGGGCGCTTGCTGGTCGGTTAGACTGCGAGTTAAAGGAGTCAAGAGGCTGTCGGGGCTATTGCGCAATGACTCAAAAAGAGAACCGCCTAAAGGAGGCACCCCAAAGGTACCGCGCTTCTTGGACGCTGAGGGCTGCTCTTCCTGTCGCTGCGCAGATTGCGGACTCTGCAACCAGTGAGGCAGAAGCCCGCTAGATATCTTGTCGCGATGCAAAAATGCCATCCCGTGTTGAAATTTGGAAAATTTGTACACCAGTGCTGCGGACCGCACTCACCACGCACGTCACACTAAAACAAATTAACAAATGCGCAGGCTGCCGTTTAGTGGTTAACTTGCAGGGGTGCGTATAGCTCAAAGCACGGAGGGAATGCATGCAGGCTCGCGAAAATGAGTCATATGTCCAGGTGCTACACAAGCAGCACTTCACGCCGGCCTGAAAGGACCTGAATAAAATTGAAGGCATATTTAAACGTGATATAAAGGTGACCCGGCAGCAGCAAAGCACGCTCCCCTAGTTAGACCGAATAAGCTGAGCATGCATTTACGTACTTGCGTCTGACAACAAAAGCATCGACTCCACCCAAGCCGGCGACGGTTGTTGCTGAACCTTCACTTCAAGAATGGCATACGGGAAGCGCACAACTTCGTCCTGCAGCAGATCCATCGGCAATAGACGGAAGCTCTCAGCGTGTTGACAACAACGATACAATTTGTTATTGAGTGGGGAGGATGCCTTGCAAAAAGCTATACACAGCACAGTACTGGCGACACATTTCTAACTTGCAAACGCCGTCATCCTACAAAAGATAATCTCCAGTATAGAGCTCCTAACCACAGAAAAAAGCAGATGGGAAGCTGATCAGGCGGGCGCTCACCCTCCCCAGCAATTCGTCTGCAAGTCGGCACCAGTTAAAGCCTCCATCTTCTTGTCTCTGAGGCCTGTACTCGTTGACCATGCAAAGATTCGTGTCCAGGGAAATACGTACCTGAACGAAGCGATGGCAGTCCAGGAGGTCAGTTCACAACCCACTGGACGGAGCAAACACTGCTAAGAACCTTATCCTGGCTATGCCCTTCGTTCAATAAAAAGAGACTGGCAATGAACACAGTCAGCAAGCTGTTTTGCATAACACGGGGCTGCAGCAACACGCATGCAAGTGAAGTCCTGGCAAAGGATAGCCTGAGCTAAACCTTCTGCAGGTATGACACCGCATTTATTCCCTCTTACGGCGTTTGAAGTGGCCAGTTGGAAGGCTGCCCGCAGGTAACTCGTCCGCAGCTGCGACGCAACGAGCTTAATTGATGCACGCGTCACAGAATGCAGTCGCTTCCCGTTGATAATAAACACTAACGGCCTACAATTACGGCAGTGGTGGCAGTTACATGGAGTTGGCTCCTCCTAAACTTGAATGTCAATCAATATGATGGGCTAACAGCGATGCAGCTGCAAATACCTACGAGGTTGGGCGTGATATATCGTGTGATCACGTCTTCGACTGACTGCTTACCATCGGTTGCAAATGGTGTTCTGCGATTGCCCGTTGTATCTCTTCCCCCAATTCTATAGCTTTTTTCAGCTTTCCATTTCTCGCAATGTAGGCATCAGCGGCACTTCTCTCAGCATCGCCATTCATAGGGAAGAGAAGCCCACTATGCTCATGTACCATTGAAGGTTCTGAAGCGGTCCCGCGGTCAGTTGCTGGAAAATGAAAGCCTGAGGCCTCCAGCAGTAGATCTCGAGCACTTCGCTGCAGCAGCATGTACGGCGCAACAAGCCGCTGAGGGACTACAAATCGCTCCTTCGTGCTGCTCATGCCACTCCAAGACTCGTGGTGAGTCTTCCTAAGATCAAGTGGAGCACAGTCGCGCAAGACCAAAATACGTCAAGGCCAAACTCCCATGGCAAAGGCCACCGCACAGCGATGCAACAAAGTTCGCTGCCCTACCGCTCGATGAAGATGTCCTCGTCTGGGCCATTGTTGTTGGTGCCATACCAACGAAACCTTAGTAGTTGGGCGCCTTCAAACCGCCTTATGCGGCGCTCGTAGCTGTAGGCGCCTGCAGCGCCAGCACAAAAGAATGGGGAAAGCCAGGGATAAAAGCAAGCAGCTAAGCATTTTCACAGCAATGCCGCATAGACTTTTCCCAGCCTACGTGCGAAAAAGGAGACAGCAGCAGGAACTGAAAACAACTACTACCATCAGCCATGCCATCTGCTGTCGTCGCCAGGTGTAAGTCAACGTAGTTGCTGTTGCCCCTTTCGGAGAGGTGGAATAGAGATTACTCTGGTTTGTTTGACGAGGGCATGTAGGTCAAACTGAGGAGTAAAGGGAAGGTAATACGGAGCAACGAGCACTACCTACTTGAACTGTCGAAGTACACTGACGCCACCATCTGTGTCGGTGCAAGATTCGGGCCCCTGAAGTTGTGCCCGTTTGCCGTAGCCTCGGGACCAAGCAGTGACGCCTCCTAAACACTCATAAAGCATACAGGCGCGCTTCCAAGCAGATCCACTACCAAATAATGCATATGGCTTAGTATTTACGCAACGCAGCAGCGACAAATTGCGGCACAGTCCCGTAATCAGCATCTGCAGTCGACAACACAAAGGCTAATGTGCTAATCCACATTCCTAACACTAAATTTCCACGGTGAGCGAATGCGTGAATGAAGGACCACTTGTCGCCGACGAAACGGGCTGATGTAAATTTACCAAGTCTTTATCAGATGTCCCAAATACGAGAAATGGCAAATGCCGCACAATTAGGCATTGTGCCCGCACCTGCAGAAGCAACCAGATCGAGCCACAAGCACTTCTCATGAGGTGCCGTGATAGTCTCGATCCATCAACGTTCAATCAAGCCTCAACCCGAACCCCCATGATACACGCAGATGACCGCCTAATGGCTGAAAACGAGAATGCGACGAGACTACCCTCCCCTACCCCTCAATTCCTCCAAGACCTGCGGTGCTCTATTTGTGCTTAACGACGCAGAGGTGCTTGTGAATGCATGCGATCCATTCCATTCAGCTCTTCTATCTGGAAGGGGTGCGCTCTCGAACGCCATCCCTTCTGATACAGATTAACCCCCCAAAAGAGCTGTCTGTGAAAGCTGGAAGTCATGCTCTGTGGGTGGAAGGGGCCGTATCCGCACTCACAATGTTTTCTGGTCTAACCCAGTACTTGGTTGTGACCCGAACAAATGAGTCGGGTGGTTTCCACGCCTCAGATTCCATCTGCCTTCCCTCCTGCACGTTTCACAGCTCAGCCGGCTTGCTACTTGTGAGTTCGACGCCAAACAGGCAGCTCGCCATCGAAATTAAAGATACTTGAACTGCCAACTGCACAGAATGCAAGTGGTCAAACACGAGCCAGTGTAAAAAGCTGTTCGTGGCCGCGACTACGTACCAGTTTGGAACGGAACCTCCCCCAAAGAAGAGACAGCATCAGAACCAGGCGCTCAAGGTCAACATTGCAGTATGCCTCCTTCAGCAGGGACGTGGAAAACCACCTTGCCGTCTTTGCCTGAATCCCTCCAAGGCAACATCACAACGCGGTCGCAGCCATACGGTCAGCTACCCTCGTCTCCTGAACCTGCTGCTAGCCGGTTGCTGCACGAATGCAAGGATTGTCTCCCGTTTAGGGGTCTTCTGGATATAAGGAGTGGCAAAGATATTACAGCTGCACTCCCTAACTGCCTACTGGATATCAGCGCTGTATGCAGTGCCTCCCTACAACGTGTGCAGTGGCAGGGCTTACGCCTGTGAGTAGGCGGTCGAAATGAGAACAGAGGAACAGCAATGCTTTGTGGTTTGTTCGGATGTACAGATCGAGATGAATTATCTCTGCAGTGGCAACCAAGCATTCAAACAGATTAAGACTGACGCATGCACAAAGGGGCAAATATACTTCAAATTTCTAAGCCGCAACAGAATATCAGAGCAGGCGCTAGTGCACACCCCATCTTTACTAGGCAAAACAACACCGTCTTACCAGCCGACTGTTCTTCAATAAGCTGTTCTTCGTCACCCTGAAGGCCTTCGTGCTGCGTTCCCACAAAGTATACAGGGATAACGTACATCGCTACGCAGCAAGGATGCCTCAGGAACCAACAGGGCACTTCAGGAGCCACCGCCGGTCTAATCGAGCGTTAAAAGCATCAAAATCCTACAGTAAGTTGACGCAGAGCCATGAGAGAGGGAGTTGACTTCAGGACGCACCTGTTTCATGCGTGCAGCAATAAGCCGCAGGTCCTTCTGAATCTGTCGTTCTTTTGCAGTTGCAAATTTATTCAGTTCATGCACTTGCTGCTGCAGCAGCCCCCAGAATTGAGCCTCTGTTTGGATAGGCAATCAACAAGGTATACACGGGAATCAGGCGCATGCGCGCATCTCGGATGTGTGAGGTGGCATATATATGGACACCGAAGCCACGCTCGTCAAACGTTCCACTCTAATGCAGTCTTTTTCTCCACAGTTCAAGATGAATTCAGCAAACGCTGCTGGGTAGACACGCATTGGTGGAGTTGCTCACGCGTAATCTCACTCATCCATTTTACACTGCACACTTGCCCCGACCTACCTTTCGCACGACTAGAAGAATGCATGCATGCAGAGATGCATGCACAAACACAGATGCACGCAGATAAGGGTGAGGCTGCACAGCTGGTAGTCGGCGGCTGTGCACACGGAGCCTACCCGGTAACAGAGAGAGCGTCTCTGCCTCAGCCCTCAGACTCGACCCAGCCATTCCATCGTCTGCCCGGGCAGCGGCTGCTGCTGCGGACAATATATATTGATTTTGGGAAGGGTCTCCTAGTGCA